AAAAATACTTTAAAATAATACAACATTGAAAATGGCTCCCTATGAAGAGCTGCTTTAAAGCACTGATAAACAGATTCAGACACTGCAGCGGTGAACACACACACACACACACACACACACACCTCTACTCTCTACTGCTGGGCTGTTCTCCACATCTGTGTATGTGTGTGTCTGCATTTTGTGTGTGTGTGGTTGGAAATGGTGTGTGTTTATGAAATGAGCAGACTGTCTGGACAAGACTGCATCCAGCGTGTTTGTGTGTGTGTGTGTGTGTGAGTGTGTGTGTGTGTGTGTGAGTGTGTGTGTGTGTGTGTGTGTGTGTGTGCGTGTGCGTGTGTGTGTGTGTGAGTGTGTGTGTGAGAGAGAGAGAGAGAGAGACAGGACCCTACATTATCTGGTCAGAATGAAAGAATCTCTGTCTGTGAGGTCAGGTCTGGTCAAGGCTGCTGTGGCTGTGTGTTAGTGTTTGTCCATGTGGAAGTGATTAAATCTGTTTTCATAACTTTATAACAGTGAACAGGACAGTAAGTTGACAGTACGGCCAAAAATGTATCATCACAGTATAGGACAGATCAGCATGACGTCACAACAGCAAAACAATGTGTGGAGAACACAGGAAGCTCAGCACTGATACAGCAGGACTTCAGCCTAATCCTGAATTATTTACCCAAAATATTGATTAAAAAGGTCAAAAACTTCACACAGTTGTGTGGTTAATTTTTGTCATATAATCATGACAATGCAGCGGCCACACTTTAAGAAGCATTGGCTTTATAAAGAAGTTTATCCACTGCACATTCAAAAACAAGCGACCCAAACATGGACCAACAGAGCTTACAGTTCTGAGAATGTATTTCAGACCTAATTTAAGATCTGACAGGTCAAAATAAGATTTTTCACCAATTCGTACTACAGAATCAATTCTAATCTTTATTTAGGAATTTTATCTTATCTTACAGCATCTTATCTCCAGTTTGGAAATCTTAACTTACTCGATCAAAGTCAACAATCAGCTGTCATGTCTGTTTCCTAGCAACTGACCATAAACACAGCTGAAATGTAAACACGTCATCAAATAATGTTAAAATGTGAGTTAAGCTGCTGTTACTGATGTAAAGAAGGTCAAACAGAACTAAAGAGTGATAAACTGTAAGTAGTGAATACTGTGAGAGCGCCCCCTGCTGTTTATCAGAGCGTCGCCGCTCCCCAGTTTCAGTCTCCATTTCCCAAACGCTTTAGCCGAGCGCGCTAACGTTACTCCTTCTAATAAACAGACACACGTTCAGCTCCGCCTCCTCATTATTCACCACCATTACTGTAACTGGGTGTGGTAACTATGGTAGATAACACAGTGGTTACGTGATCTCTCTCTCTCTCTCTCTCTCTCTCTTTCTGATTTGTTTTATGACTTTATGGTTTTAACTGCTATTCACAGTCACATCCAAGATCGGCCAGGCTCTGATATGATTGGCTGGAGCCTTTTGTCAAGCAGAGTTAGTCTCAATACTAACAGCTGGGTCAAGTAACACATCATTACACCTTCGTGCCACTTTTCAGCTCCAGGCTCAAAGGTCAGGCACTGCACAGGAAGCTCCTCACCTGTTAATCAATCATTGTATGTAAACTCCACCTACCAATCCTTCAGGAAGACTGTCTACCTGTCAGGATGTGAGGTGTGGAATGTGTTTGGGATTATAATGCAACTTTGGAAGTGTGGAAAAATATCCCTGAAATATCCTCAAAGAAATACAGATTTTAGATTTAGATATTTAGTTGTTGAGGCATCTGTGTAATTTTCCATTCAGTGGATGTTTTACTCTTTTTACCTGATGCAGAAAAAAGAATAGCTTGTATTTGTTTTATTTGTAAAGCACTTTGAACGATCACAGTGATAAATAAACCTGCCTTGCCTTAAAGGCCATTTTGACAGGAAATGAAATAAATGAAAGTGTGCTCTCTGACTTTTGCATAATACTGTATTTGTACCAATATTAGTGACAGTGCTACTTTGGGAACAAAGCCAAAGACCATGCCCATTACCCCTACCAATTACCCATTTCCCATCAACTATTACCCACTAACTTTTACCCATTACCTATTACACATTACCCATTACCTACTACCCACTACCCATAACCCATTATCTATTACACATTATCTATTACCTATTCACTAACCATTACCCATTACCTATTACAAGTTACCCTTTACGTACTAACTATAACCCATTACCCATTACCTGTTACCCACTGACCATAACCCATTACTTATTATCCATTACCCTTGACCTACTACTTGTTTTCCATTACCCATTACTCATTAGTTGTTGCCCATTACCCTTTAACTAAGGGTGGGAATCTCTAGGCACCTCACGATTCGATTCCATTATGATTCAGAGGCTGCGATGCGATTCTAAAACGATTATCGATGCATCTTTTTTTTATATACAGGATTTCTATTTTCTCACTGTGTCAAAACTTGGTACTTTTAAAGCAAAGTATTTGTAATAATCCACAATGCATTTACTTCCAAAATCTCTTATTAATAAATCAAATGGAAGTGATGTGGCAAATGAACTAGAAGACTCTCATTCACTGCCCTTGTTTGGAGCACGAGACGCTGCCGCCACTCATCTGTGATAAAATGCGCTGTTAGGGTGACATAAGATCCAGTGGTGATGGATGTCCACGCAGCACTTTACAGCCGTCCTACCCGTCTTCTATAGTGATTTTATAACTTCGGTTTTGGTCTCGTTGTAGAGACGGGAGGGGGCTTTGCTGTGTCAGTGAAGTATCTTTGAGACGGGTCGTGTGAAACATAGCAAGAAAGCCCTGTTTTGCAACGACTGAGAACCGGCGTGCAGACTGCAGGTCACACAGCAGCGATGCGTTATTCGCATTTATAAGCAGCGCAGTTGGTTTCCTGGAACGTTAAATCTGCAACAAGAGACTATCAAACACAAAAGTTGCGAAGATGAAGTCGCTTCTCTTTCAAATTTTCTTGTTCCACCTTAAATGGTGCCGCATTTACATTCGGTGCCTCAGTCAGAATTTAAGGTGGAACGGGAAAATTTGAACAAGAAGCTGGAGAACGAGAAGCGACTTCAGCCTCGGAAAACAGTTGAACGTTCAAAGACATTTTACGAGAAACTGATCTACTTCTGAAAAAAAGTGTTCTGGCGGAAATTGGAGGAAAGCGGCTGTAGCTGAAGCTTAAAGCAGAACAGGGTAAGTCTGCGATCTCGTTTATATTTTTAAACCTAACTTATACTAGGACATCATCACACACTGAGACATACTGGACATTAAATGTTGTGGCTCCCAAGCTGGTCTGATTTTTGTTGAAAGGCAAAATGGCTCTTCATATCATTTGTGTTGTGACTCCTGATCTAACCTGGCTTTAATGCAGAGGGAGCCGGTCGGATTTCTCACTCATCCAGTAGTGTTTTTGTTATGTGCCGCCACAGACTGTCCGGGCGCTGCACTTCCCCACTTCCAAGTTCCGCCTTTTGCGTTTCGCCAACATTACGTTATAAATTAAATATTTAGAAAATCGATTTTTGACATTTATGAATCGATTCAGATTGTCCACATCTGCAGCGCGATACATCTAAAAATCGTTTTTTTCCCACACCCCTACCTTTAACCATTACCTGTTAAACGTTACCCATTACATGTTACCAGTTACTTATTACCCACTACCTTTTATTCATTACCCATTACCTGTTTCCTGTTATTCATTACCTATTACTCACTATTCATTACCTGTTTCACGTTATCATTTACCCATTACCCACTACCCATTACCCATTTACTTGTTAATCTCTACCCATAATCAATTACTCATTACCTGTTACCTGTTAGAAAATTGATAACACTTTATTTGGATAGTCCACTTTAGATGCTTTATAGATACTTAATTTACTTTCAGGTTACATTCAACTAAATATCTACTAAATTGACCAGAATGTTCTTTAACTCTAAACCTGCTCTAATCCTAACCCTAACCTTAACCTCAACCCAAAACCAAAACCCAACCCTCACTCTGGTCCTAGCCCTAACCCTGGTCCAAATCCTAACCCCACCACTGTTTAGAACTGAGTTTCAACAGATAGTTTGTTAATAATTTAAACATCTGTAGAGAATCTATATGGACTATAGTGGACTGTCCAAATAAAGTGAGACTGAAAAATGCTGTTTTATGGTTATAAAACCTGTTTTATCTTATATCATTGAAAGGTAACAGTAAAAACCCTCTCTCTATCTCTAAGCTGAGGTTATGTGTTATTTCTAAATGTTGATTTGAGGTCAGTGCGGTTATTGAACTATCGATGCCGGACACTTAAGAGCCAATTGTGTTTGAGGCCACAGTGTAGTAGGACAGTTAAGTGAGTGTGAAGAATATTCATGGGGGGGTGGGGGGGTAATGGGTCAGTGAGGGCTGAGGAAGTGCAGGAGAGATGAACACAATGGCTCTTTGTGAAGGATCTATACTTCTGTTACACACTGATTGCAGCGGTTGCAGTTTTATTTTTATTAGCTGCACAGCGTGGTCATTGTAAGGAGAATGGCCAGTCGTTTCTCAGTAAAACTTGGCTCCTGCCCACCTCACAGCTACTGTTTCAGAGAACTGGCTGGCCGTCCAGGTGCCACTCTCTCTCCTCCTCCTTCCACTCCCTCCATCAGTCTACACAAGTTTGATTCGGTTTACTCGTCTGATTCTTTCAAACTGTCCATTTCAGCGATTCTTTGATTAACAGAAAAGTTTATTTATGGCGTGCAATCAATGAATCATCATCAAGAATAAAGTCAAAAGTCTTTTTTTTTTTAAGTCAATAGATTTGTTTGGTTTATGTTAGCCTGAACATCACTGGTGCGACAGGCTGCTGTTGGAAGAGAGTGAACTGAAATTGTGTTGGGAGTCCTCACTGATTAGCTGATTAGCTGGCTGGTAACCTGGGGGTTTTATGACTGAACTCAGTTTCTCCCATTTCCTTGCAGACACTGATTTAGAGGGTGAGAGAGAGAGAGTGAAAGAGGGCACTCCTGAGTGACGCCCACAGGAAGTGACTGTAGCACCCATCTCCCCCGGAGTGCTCACCTGGACAGGTGAGTGGACGCTGTGTGATGTGGGTCAGGATAGAGGCAGTACCTAACAACACTGAAAGGCTTCACAACACAGTAGAATCTGCATAGTATTGGGCAATATTACTATTATAAACATTCTGCTGAACATGTGTCTGAATGAAACTGCTGAATCATTTAAGGAATAATTTAGATGCCAACTTCAGCTTTGTTGAATTTCTCAAGTCATTTCTGACATGCACATCTCATTTGCCATCTGATGGTCAGTTCACCGTCAGTACCAGCCGCTCCACGGCTTGTTCTGTACGCAAGGCCACAACCATGATGCGGCCGGCTGAGTTAGACAGCTTCTCAGGTGGTACATTAGCGGAGGAAGCAGAACGGTGACAGTGGTTTTGTTGTCCATGTTAGACTGAGGCTAACCCAAAACGTTTGGTCATTCCTTTACATCCACTCATGAACTACTTCAGATGCAACAGACCAGACAGTGGGGTTGATCAAGGGTCCGCTGCCTTTCTTTTAAATTTTAAACGTGACTGAAACATCCCTGACTCAGCAACCCTGCTAAACAGTCTAACGTCAGCATGGTTTCCACTGTTTGTATGTCATGTTATTTGTGGCGATCTGGTGTAACGGTCATGATGAAGGTCATAACTAAGAATGAATTTCAGCCTGTATACCTGGTTCATCCGATATGCTGGTTAAAACTGTTCTTAAGGTATGAGGAGTCATCAGCCAGTCAGGTAAATGGGATAACGTTCGCATGGTTTGCACTGTGTGTACAGCATGATCACAAAACTCATTTTGGAGGAACCAGTACCACTCACAGCTAGATCTGCATGAGAAATGCATTTTATTCAAGCTTCAGACAATGTTTGTTTGTATCTTTTATTCTCTGAGTGTGTCGTTCTCTTCAGCAAAGCTGACATTTTGAAGATAAAAAACCTATGTACGATGTGAAGCTTGTAGGGTTTAAAGGTTCACATTTGTTGCACCATCAGCAGAAATCCCCCATTAAAAGACTGTTTTAAATGCAGGCCTGAGCTTAAAGTAATATTTAAAGGAACTTTTCCCCACAGAAACCTAGTTAATGGCCTCTGTGATGAATGAAGTCTTGGTCAGGGCTGTTAGCGTCATGCAAAAAGGACTGTGCTGACCTGTCCACACCTGCTCTTACGTGGCTGTGGGTGGTTTTGGGTGAAGTGTTAGAATCTGGGAAACGGTCCTCAGGGTCTAAATGTGGTTGCACAGCTGGACTGTGGGCAGGCCTGGGCTCCAAATACCCACAAACCCCCAGCTGTGGCTGACGTAAGAGTGCTGGGTGGAGTATGTGGTGCCAAATTAGAGGACATGGACAGTCCTGCAACATGGAGCTGTACGAGAGAAACACCTAGTTTCTGTTATTGATCTGTATTTGTACTAGTTAAGTGGTCTTGATAAAGTAAATGTTATTGTCCTTTGTTTTGTTACTGTTTTCTTTTTGTAAGGTTTTCATGGATCTTAGTTTTCCAGCTAGAACTACAAACTTTGCAGGTTCTTTGAGCATATATGGGAATAGTGTGCTTGTGCTTTTGATATCAATCACTTGTAGCTGTTTTCTCCAAGGAAATGAATGGCAGAATGTTCCGAATCTTACTAACGAATTGAAAATTCAAACCGAACTACCACAAATGATGTCACCTCTCTCAGATATTACATACAGGAACACATACATACTGTCACATATGGTACAGTTATACACGCACATTAGCAACCACCTGGGATTCCATAGCAAAGGCCTAGCAACATCTTAACAACCATCTGGGATAACATAGCAACACCTTAGCAACCACCTGGGATACCACAAAAGTTACCTAGCAACACTTTAGTAACCACCTGGGATTTCATAACTTTCATAACTTTACCTTTCTTTTGTTCAAAAACTCCTTTCCAAGATATAATTTGTCATTATGTTTGTAACATCGCCTGCTGTGTGAAGGTGACGGAATGGATCTTAAGCAGTGTATATGTGATGTATGCTGTGACATCATGCAAAAACTGCTTATTATTATCTACATCAAATAGAACTGACACATCAAACCGCTGATACCTGCCCTGCTCACCCTGCTCTCTGCAGGTTGTTGATATAATGTGGGACATTATTACGTTAGATACATTTTAAAGTTTATATTAGGCCTCTAGTATTGCTTGTGTTTTAGTGACGTGCCCTCTGAGGGGCCATCTGCTGGTGGCGTAATTAAGTTTAACAGTGCAAAACCACTACAGATTTTGAAAATATTTAAATACAACATAAAGTAAAAAATTATAAAAGCCACCCTAAAATAAACACGCATAGGTCTCATGAGTTCAGTTGCAAAACTTAAAGTAAAAAGTAGTTGCAGTTAAGCAGTCCTGAAATCTGGGGGTGCTGCAGCCCCCTCAGCCCCCCTGCTTCACATTTCTGTTGTTTTGTGACCGAATGACCCCCATTTTTGTTATAGTCCATTACATGCTACATATAAGTCGAGTTAGCAGGGAAGATATGATAAACAACACGCCTGACAAACGTCGATTGTTCATAAGTAAAGTGATCTAACCTTTGGAGAGGACTTGCCGTAACTTCTTTGTTAAATGCAGCTCAGGTGGTCTTAAAGGTGAGAGAGACACACAAACAGGAGGCAGGAACTGACACTTCAGAGGGGGTTTCAAGATGGCTGGCACTGCGTTTAGCCAAGTGATGGACTTTTGTTCACAGTGTTGTAGCATTTTCACACTTAAAACCTGCTACATTACCAGCACTGCTGATGTTTGAGCTTGGCGTCATTCACACTTGCAGCCCTTTATAGACGGCGCAGAAACATTGCTGCAGTTTATCTCACTGCGTTAATTCCAACTCCAGATTCATTTTATCGTTACTCTGAATAAACAGAATGAAAATAAGCTCCTTCTGCACTCTGAATGAATGTCCATCACCAGATTCTCAGAATGAATTGCCAGTGAGATGCTTAGTTCAGTAGTGTCCATCAGTATGTTATGCATAATAGCGCTGTAAGGTCAGTCAAGATTTCAGATCACAATTTTTATTCCATCAACAATCTTGTCCAAATAGTAAGTAAAGAAATTTAACCTCATAACAATGAGCCTGTGAGCTGCCTGTAGGTGAGTTAGACCATTAAAACGCAATCACTCGTGTTCTGTTTACATCATAACAGAATCCACTAACTGGCAGTCTGGCTTGTGATGTTCTGCGTTTTTCTTGACCACAAAAAAGACCTGGACCTTAATTTACAGAAAATAATAATATTTGCAATATTGGTCAGAAAAATTGCACACATGTTTTTGCTCAAATGCATGCTGGCCATACTGTGTTGCTATTGTGCAGTGGCAGCTGTGCAGCTGTGTGCCAAACTAAAACTAAAGTGTGTTTCCACTGTGATCAAGATGGGACTGTCTTGTATCTGGGTCATTCTACAGAAACACCCACTTTTTTATCTGTCTAGGAGTCACTGGTATTACTGATCATCTCTGGTGTTACACAAAAGAAAAGTAACACCAGAGACAGTAACACCAGAGACCAGTAACACCAGTGACGCTTTTAATAAAAAATACATTTTACAAAATAACTGCTACAGAGCATCAAACCACATGTTGTCAATCGTGGAATATCCACTAAAATATGGAATTTAATCCATTTGTATTCTATTTTTTCACCACTACCTCAGAATAAAGTCGGTCACACCAGTGACTTCAGCTAAAAGCTTCATATGAAATCATGAGCTAAATGAGAAAATCTCTGCTAACTGAAAGACACAGTGGACTCACCATGAGCTTTTCTTCATAGATCCTCAGAAAACAGGTAGAAGGAAGTCGAGTGATGTCATCAGTGTGACTTTTATTACAAAATAAGAGATTTTTGGTTATGCAGTAACACCAGTGACACGACTCCTGGGGACCACAACTTTCATTATATATTTTATAATATTTATTTGGTATTTGTTTTCTTTTTGTAATTTATTTTTTAATTTTAATTTAATATATTTCATAGTCACGCTTAGATTATTGCAGTTAAAATTGTAGAAAAAATGTTTTTTTCTTCAAAATATGGCCTCATCCTTTACACATGACTGTGGGGACGAGCTCTTCTGTGGTGCTTGGAATTCTGTATGATTGATTTAAAAACCAGTATTGCTAAATTGAGGCTCAAGAAGGTGTAATTGTTAAAATAATGTATTCTTTTATTTTAAAATATTTAAAAATTGTAACCCTGACATGTTTTTCAAGGGTAATGTATTTGTAAATGCTAGGAACGCAAAAATGGACGTTTCTGTAGAATGACCCATCTGCTTCTGTTCACATGTGTGTTTTCCTGGGAACTTTCCAAGGATTGAACTCGTCCTCCAGCTCGTGTTCACACTTAATTACCATTATAGTTCCATGTAAAAGTGTTGATGTGAAAGGGGCTTCAGAAAACACAAAAGCGAGACTATTTAACTTTTTCATTTTTTCACTATTTTACTTCAAGACCCGCTGTACACAAAAATGTTTTATAAGGTTATATATACACTGATATTTGTATCATATGTGTTAATGTAGCACAGAATTCTTCTTCTAAGTTTATTCGAAAAAGTGATTTGTGAGCTCTTCATAGCAGATTACTAAAACACACAAATGAGAGGCTTACAACAAGAGCCATGAGCCCCAAGCGTTGACAACAGCTGCTGGAAGCACTGCTATACATCAGCACTGGAAGCTAGCATTAGCTTAGTGAGAAGGCCTGAACATCTGTACACACAACCACGCAGGTTCACTTCCAGGTCAATGAAGCTTCACTGATGCAGATTTGGAGGATAAAGACTCACATCTGGGCTAGTGACCCTGTATCTTTGTGTGTGGAGCTGTTAGCTTAGGCTACTTTAATTCATTTCCTTACTAGCATCTGAGGCGAATGTTAGCTTAGGGAAAAGGCTAAACCACCATCAATTTGGGCTCACTGAAGCTGCTCTGAGGCAAGTTTAGAGGATAAAGACTCAAATCTGAGTGAGTGA